GCTGCAGAGCCAGTGGAGCATCGAGTGTGATCAAGGGATTGCATATATTTTCTTTCATTTCTGATCTTGTCTCTACCAAGGGGGAAGAACTCAAGTACAGGATTTATATTTCTTAGGTCTGCTCACTAAATTGGGGAATAAGGAGGAGTGGGAACAACCCATAGACAGAACATCAAACAGAGAATCCAGACCACAGATTGATATATTGTTTTGAAAACTCCAAGGAAAGGAGAAATGGGGAATGAATGAAGTTAGCTTCGTAATCTTGGAGAAATGATGGGAAAACTGAGAGCAGGCAATTCAGGGGCTATCTGTATATCTAGCTTCCAAAATATGTGACACTCTGTTACCCGTCCATCATTTGAGCCACGAGGGGCTGGTAGAGTTGGGAGAAACTGCAGCCATGACCGTCTCCTCTCAGTCCCCACCAGACACACTGCTGGCTGTGGGTCAAGTAGAGTCATTCTGAGGAGCAAAATGACATTTCAGAATCATGGATTGTTTTTAAGATACCTATTGCTTCTTTCTTTCCTCCCTCCTCCACCCACCCCCCTTTTTCTCTTTTCCTACTTTGTTACTGAGGTAAATCTTCATGAAAACCCTTAACAAATGAGCAACTACAGAGAATAAAACTCATTTGTATACAGAAATCTTCAGTTATTATTCAAACACTAAAACTCTTGGTCATCTATGGGTGTTTGTGTGTGTCTCTCTCTGTGTGTGTGAGAGAGTATGTGTGTGATGAGTGATCACTGACATCTGATAAAGCTGTGACCTTCCATTTCACCTTGGCCCTTTGGATCGCCATGACTCAATATTTCACACTTATCAAATCTTATATCTTAGATATGGGATCTATCTGTTCTCACTCGAGGGGATCACGAAAGTCTCATCCAGTTACACCAGAGAATGCAGGAGAAGAGGATGCACAAGAGGAACCAGCATCCTACAGGGGTAGGAGAACAAACAATAGGTGTCCTAATGTGGTCCCTGTCCAAGTACGTATCTCAGCTCACTACTTTGCATGTTTTGCTTGTGGAGAAATGAATGTGACCTTCCCCTGGAGTCTGGGCACAGCTTTGGCCTTCCTGAACCAAAATGGAAGGACAAATGGAGGAAATGTAACAATCCTAGGGATCAAACCTTCCTACAGGTTACTAGTAAGATATGTACTTTAGCGGGTTTTTGTTTGTTTTTACTTGGGCTTTGCCATTGACTCTCTGAGGGCTGCCATGTCCCCATCAGTCTGCACCTTGACATTGGCATAGGTCCCCTTTCTGTTTTATTTATGATCATTGAACACACATAACCTCAGTTTTGTGAAAGAAACTGCATGTTCCAGGAAACCTATTCACGAAGTTCCTTTAGTAGCTTTGAGTCACGTGACTGTTGGCCAGAACCAGCCAGCGTGGAAACCCAGCAGGTAGCATGCTGTTGAGCAGAGCAAAACCATGCACCTCAGCTCTATGTGGAGGAAGGTCTGAGTTGTGTGGTCCTCTTCACCTGGATTGACAGTGTGTCCCTTTGTGTTTCAGCATCTTGGGACAC